AACCTATGTGTTGGTACATAAAGTAATTTTTTATACCTTTTCTAATAGGTATGTAATCTTGCATTAACCTGTTAAAATTTAGTGCAGTGACTTTAGTGCAGCAGCACATCAGCTGAAGTTGTTCTACATGGTGTTCAATACTTTTAGATCAGCAATTAACCTTTTAGTCTTCTGCCACACAGGTATCTAGCATCAAAGCATCTTTTTCAGAGTTCAGTACAGTCTTGAACTTGAGCACCAGAAAAGGAGTATGGCTTTTTAGAAGGAGTGCTTCACTACATTCATGATGTCAATCAAGCTTTTCAAGCATTTGACATGCATTTTGAACTGCAGGAAGCTGAGGAAAAGGGAAAGGCCGTTGATGATTCGTGGAGTGCTCTGCTGCAGGTTGTAGATTGCCCGAAGGTGCAGCTAGGTCTTAGGGTGATGTAGTGATGACAGTGCCTGTAAGCCCCCATTGGCTTGCTCCCTCTCACGGCTGGGGACTCAGGATATTTGCTAGCCCATCGACTGCCACAGCTCATGACACAGCCCCAGCATGGAGGCTGCACTCAAACATCTTCGGAGCTGTTGGCACCTTGAGTGAGTTCAGCCACAACTCGTCATGGATGATCTGTGGTTAATGAAAAGGGGGTTTGATTCCTCCCCAGAGAAAAATGACAGTGCAAGCACAAGGTCTTTTTGTGAAGCAATAAACAGTCTGTTTCTTGAAGCTTTGAGAGGAGAGACTTTGGGAGGAAAAGCAAGACATTTAAAATGACAGAAAATAATTGGAGTAACTTCATAGAATCATTGTATCTGGCTTTGAAAATAAATTCCCTAAGATTGCCTTGGGATTTATATTGCAACAGAAAATCATTAGCCTATGACAACATGATATTTCATTGACATATTCTAAGTACACCCTTCCTGAAATGTTTTCCATTTTAAAGCAAGATTATGAGTTTCAGCTATACCAAAATCATATCGTTCTCATTTTATTTATGTCTCTTTCTGTAAGACACAATTTTAACTACTTATGAAAATCTTGTATGAATTACTTCTGAGATTTAAATGTTCCTTGAAGTAGAACTTGAAGAAGATGTAGCTGAGATCAACAGACAAGACTTAATGTAAGACTTATATTTTGCTGTCATGTCAAAGCAGAGTTTGTAAAGAAAAGATATCTTTTATTGGACAAAATGAGATAGCTGTATTTACTGAACTATATATGCCCAGGTATCTTGCCACTTAATTTACTTTAGTAAAATAACAAAACTTACTTTCCTTAAACTGTTAGAACTATACATTGTCTTTTATACAGCATGACTCTTGCATAGTCTTATATGGGAATTTTTCTTTAGGAGCTCCTTGTACTGATGCAGATTTTTGAATGTGGAAGCTCAAGATATGTATTCAGCTTTTGTATTTTCTTTTGGTGTAGGCTATATGTGTGGGCTCAGAAAGTATGCAGATAATGTATCCTGCAATCTTCGACCAACTGTTGGCCTTTGTAGAATTTTCCTGCAAGCCTCCACAGTATGGACAGCTGGAAACAAAGCACATTGCAAATGCAAAGTATAATCAGGTAATTAATTAGAAATCTCACTTGTTTCACTTGGCTGGTGAACCCAATTCAGCTTCAGATACAGGTTGTTTAGCAAGATGTATTTATTCCATCTGTAAAAACTTTGCTGTGCATGTTGAATAATAAGTTAATTTATTAGTATTTTTAAATGCTTTTGTTATCTTCATTTGTTCCCTTTGAATTCTACTTTGCTTTTATACTTTGTATTCCTCTGTGTGGGAAAGGTCTTGCCTGGACACCAGACATAGTGAATGTGTCTCAATTTGTCCAGTGAATTAATCTAAAATAACTTGTCCTACATGTGATACCAAATTTAATAGAAAGACACAATGGTTTTGAATGCAGAAAATTCCCTCAAGCTGCAAATTTTTGAATTGCACGTTCTGTAGAGAAATGGGACATATTCAAGAATTCTTTTTTTCTGTGTACTCTGCCGTTCACTAAGCATGAGCATCTGATTCACTGTAATCGAAGAGGTAACTATTATGTATGTATTAATTCTTCTTATTCTATTTGTCCTGCAACACAATGGAATCACACTAGATACAACTATTTGCACCGGTGAGTTAAATTTCCTTAAAGATTGTCCTAATGTAGTTGTCTTGCCTAGACTGCAATATTTCTCCTACTTAAATGTACTTTACTTCAACGTAGAGTACATTTTCATAGTGAGACTATGTTGTATTTGCAATTTTGTTGCTTGGACCATATTCTTAGCAAACCTTGCATGCATTAAACTAAGAGTTCAATGCAAAACATACATTTTCTGATCCTTAATTAATGTGTTTTCACATATAATTCAGTAATTCACTGATTTCTTTTCCTAGGCGGAATGGGTAGCATTGAATTACGTACCATTTGCTGAGAGATCACTGGAAGTTGTTGTGGACTTATACCAAAAGACAGCTTGCCATAAAGCTGTGGTAACGGAGAAAGTTCTTCAGAACATTATTAAGGTAAAAGTTTGTCCTGCATATGCTCTGAATTTAATGAGCTGATATTGAAAATCATGAGTTTTATTTTGAGCTAGTGTTGATAAACACTTTCTGGGAAGCTTAAAGCTTTAGTAAACAAATTTATATTTTATGAAGATGAGCAGCAGGTAGTAATTTCTTTTGAAGCTGCAAGGCTATTGATTAGGCTATATGTATTGTTCTTTAGCTGGATAATGTCAGCATCAGTATTTCAATGTTAAGATAAAAATTAACAAATGTGTTAGGCCAGAAAATACTAATCTTTGAAAGTATTATGTATCTGAATCTGATAAGCAGACCTCTTAGTAAATATGACATTGAAGGTCAAAGACCAGTTTCTGTAGACTGTACTCTGGGGACATCTGCTCTAGCTATTACTTTTTATTTGCTTTTAATGACTTTGTGTGTCATTGAGGTAGCTATGAAATGTTATGGGTGCACAAATGTGCCTTTAAGGTGAAATTGCCAAACTCTTAACTTTTTTGGACCTTGTTTCCATTTTAGCAAATAATTCAGGTAAATAATAGAAGTAGTAGTAATGTCTGGGAAAAAATGTATGTGGCCTAGGTTTGTTTGTAATGATTTGGCTGACATCAGGTTGTTCCTGTATAGAAATTTAGAAACCTGAATGTGTTTGAAACAGTTATGTGGTATTATTTGGAATCTGTTATGATTAAATATTTGTATTTCAAAGTTAATGCAGTTGTTTTCCACTTCTGTTTTAATGGGATAGGTGAGACTGATATAAACACCACTTTTCTTTAACGTTCACAGTTGATAATAACATGATCTATTGCAGTGGATGAAAATGGTTTTAAAATTATTTTACATGTCTCTCAAGCCCATGCTGATATTGGAATTAGATTTGACCTCTATGAACAATAGCAGAAGAAAATATTCAGTTTATCTCTAGCGTTAGATCCTAGCTCTCATAATTTTTGGCAATAGAGTGTTAATTACAATTGACTCACTCTTGAGAGCAAGAGTGAGTCTTTCCTCTTTGCTCCCTTTGCTTTCCTCAAATCAGAGGCTTCACTACAAGCATTGGGGGCATATGTGTAATACTTGAATTTAGTCACTGTGTATTTGAAATGTAAATAAAATAATTAGTTTTCCAAGGTAACTTGGTATCAGGTCCTAGTTAGTTTGACTAACAATGCTAAAAGGAATACATATTGTGTAAATAGTACATATGCTTAATGTTTTTAAACTCATTAATTACTTTCTTTTATAGATATTGAAGCTGTCTTTCTATCGAAAAGACTTAAAATTTGTTGTGTTTTCATCTGCTATACATTTGAGCTGTATTGCAGCTTTTATATTAGAATTTCACTAAGTTTTTGCTTTTAAACTTCATGTGGTTTAACAGTCAGCAATGACAGGATGTGTTGCAGTGGTTATGTACACAGTTCATACTAGGAAAAGTTTAAATTTCATGAGGCTTTTTTTTTTTTGTGGAAGCACTTGGGGTAGCTGTCTAGGAATGGGACTAAACTCTCCAGAATACACCCATGATAACAAACTGCCTGCAGTCTCTTAGATGTTAGGAAAGCCCATTTTGTCAGGCTCAGCAGAAACAGTGGATGGCAATACAGAAAAAGAAAATTAGTACGTAATTTCATAGTGTAATTGGTAACGGATCAACTCTGACTTCTGCCCTTGTACTTGGCAATAGATCTGTGCTTTAGCCAGCTGGTATATGGTAAATCATCTTTAAATTATATTTTTAAAAGAGCATCTTATATACCAGCAGAAAAGGTAGGGATGTGTCACTACGACAGTGTCTGCCAAGATCTTCTGCAGAAACCAGTCGTATTCTTAGATTTGTCTGAGCAACTACAAAGTTTGTTTTAACTTTCCTTTTGCAGACGCTAAGAATACCTCTTAGTCTGAAATATTCCTGTCCTTCTGAAAGCACATGGAAGCTAGCTGTTTCCTCTCTTCTCAAAGTTCTTTCTATTGGATTACCTGTTGCAAGGCAGCATGCATCTTCTGGAAAATTTGACAGTATGTGGCCAGAGCTAGCAAATACTTTTGAAGACTTTTTATTCACCAAAAGGTAAACACAATTTCCTTTTTTTTCTTTTTTCTTTTTTTTTTTTAAATGGAAAATAATTGTAAGTAATTTGTTCAGTAAATGTGTCAGTATAAGTTCAGTAAAAGTAGCCTTATCTTTAGAGATATTTGATATCTGAAAATTAATGAATAAAGGAAAAAAGGTAACCAGTCTGTCTACTTCAAAAAAGTATACTTTTAGAAAGTAGTAGAAGAAACTTCATTCAAAAGGTGAAATGTCAGAGCAAGAAAGAGCTCAACTGACCTCTGAATACAAGGCATAGCCCTTCTGGCCAGGTCAAGGAATTCTGTATGGACTCCCAAGGACGCTTACTATAGATTTGATAAAGAGTTACTGATATGTATTCAATTTGTTCCTTTTTTCACTTCAGACAGAATTGCAACAATAATTTTTTTTTAGTTAAGGTGAACACCATTAACTATATGTATTTCTCTTGAGTTTCATTTTGAAATATTCCACTTACTGTGAATTTTGGAAAATTATTTCTTACATTGCTGTTCACTTAGAGGCCAATAGTTACCTGGCATTTGTTTCTACCCAAGATAAATTGACCGCACCTTAATAATTAAATATGATTTATTTATAATACTTTGTGAAAAGTGTAGCTAAATAATCAGATTTATAACCAGACAGGCAGATGTATAAGTACATACATAATCTCTCAAGAATGGAACACTGTAGATGTGGGCATGTTGAGAAAGTCCAGAAGTGAAAAATAATAACTATCAGAGACAAACTGATCTATTAGTTTGTTCAACCAAAAGAATATATCATTAGGAAGACGTGATGACTCTTCAGAATATGGTAAAAGATTGCTCCAGAGAAGGATTTTTATTGTCCCTTGAGAATGGGTAAAAATGGATTTCAGTACAGCAAAGATTATCTAGGTTAGACATTAAGGAAACCTTTTACTGTAAGGAAGGTTAGGTGTTGTAGAAGATTGCTTAGGAGTGGTACGGAATTTCCATCTTCCGTGAACATCTGTGGGTAAGCATCTTTTAGGAGTAGTTTAAGTATATGTAAGAGTGTCTCAGATTAAAGGACAATGTGGAATATGAAAAATTTAATTCCCTGATTTTCTGCGTGTATGCTGATTTCAGTAACAAATGAATCTCTTTTTAATAGAAAACAGTTGAGTTCTTCTGTACCTAACACTAATATGCTGTGTATTTGTGTGTGTACAGTTTTCAAACACAGAAAAATCAGCAACTAAACACAGCTGTATTTACTAACGATGAATAAATAGCAGCTTGCCCAAAACAGACAAAAAATAAATACCAATGAAATTTAATTTTAGAGACATATCCGTTAGTGAGAATGTTTGTAATAATGTTTTTGGAATTTCATCAATAGGGTTACATGACAATCGAATGAAAAACCTTTCTTTTGTTTTTGCATTTAATTCAAAGAAGTATTATTAAATAGGAGGACATTAAAATAAAAAAGCTCATCAAGACTACATAAAGACAATTTAATTATCCAATTTTTTGTTTTGATGCTTCACTGTTTCATTAATGTAAAATAATCTTTGCAGTATCTTGTTTGGTTTTGTTTTCAGCTGTGGTTAGTGGTCCTGCTTCCATTCTGAGACAAGCAGTCCAGATCAGCTAACACCCTATAATCAATATAATTGTTGGGTTCAGAAAATTAAAAAGGTTTTTCAGGTTATTGTAGAAGAATGTATATTCACTTAGAAGTTACTTTAGGAATACATACTACTATTTGCTGTAAATTAATTATTCCTAAACATGTGCAAAACAGATGAAACATATCCATTTTGCATGTTTTTCGCTGACCCAGACTGGCACTGCTACAGTTTTTGGGTATTAATCATTCATAAATCCAGGGAAGTAAGATTATCACGGATCTTCAATGTAATTCAAGATAATCCACTATCATCTGCATGACCTTTTTGGCCAAATATGTTATCTGTTTTTCTTAATTTACAGCGAGTGATTTGTACTTTTCTTGAAAGCTGTTCCAACCATAGAAATTCCATCTTAACATGTTGCTTGCTAGAAACAATCACTATTGGCATTAATTCTAATAGCTTTTGCCAGCTGTCATACATGGGCAAATATTGTCTGGAGGTAAAGGAAAAATAGTACTTCTGTGAATATTTATGACGCCCTAAAACTTGTCTGTCGTTGCTCAAGTCTGGTTTTGCCTCTTATAGAATACACTCTGGTCTCTATTTTACATAAAAAATGTGTTTTTAGGGATCAGCATTTTCATCAGAATTAAAGATGTTCTCAGAAAAGTTATATGAAACTTTTCTGTTCTCTCACTTAGAAGCTTTAAGGTTCAAAAGAATTTAAAATTTAAAAAATAGGCTGGTGGTTTATGGAACCATATGGCTACAGCAGGATAATTTGGCCTGTTGTTATAATTAATAGCCATTATCATTACTCTTTCCTGGCTTGTTATGAATAGATGATTTTTGCTTTATATAGTTGTATGGCTACTGAATGTCTGGTTTGGCTTTGGGGTTTTTTGTCCCCCACCCCCCCCACCCCCCAGTGTCCATCATTCTAAATAGCAGTTTGTCTTCCCAAGTGCATGGTTCTCCTACCTAGAGCGCTATCCCTTAGTAGCTTTAGGATAGATAGCCTTTCTCTTTCCTCTATCAGCCTGAGCCTTGTGGTCCTAAAAAAAGTTAAAGCTAAGAAGGGAGTACATCTGCCTCATGCCAGTAGTCAGGACAATTAGTAATAGCCGTCATTTCTCCTTTTCTTCATCTTCCTCCTCCTCCTCCTCCCCCTCCTCCTCCTCCTCCCCACAATGCTCCTGAAGCGTGCCTCTCTCGCTGTGATGCAAGGAGGGCTCTAGAGATAGCTGTGGAAGTTCCCCACGTTGAGGTAATTCTCTTCTGATTTCCTTTGACTAAGTCCTTCTGCACTTCTGTGCAAGATGCTGTGAAACTAGCCTTGGCAAATAGGGCAACCTGTCCCTTTTGTGTAAGAATTTTCTGATTCTGTCTTTTCGTGGATTGTAATTGCAGTATAGTCAGTCTCTTACATTTGTAGTTGTTCCATTTCTAAGTAAATGGAATTCAGAATTGTAAAATTTACTGTGTTCTTTCATTTTTTTTTCTTTGTTATAGTTCTAATAGAAAATACATGTTTATCATAGTGGTGTCTTATTCCAGAGTAATTTGGGAGAATCTATTCACTGTTTTGAAAGTAACAGCTGAAATCTATCGCTGAGTTGAGGTACAGGTCAATCTTCAAATTACAGGAGAAAGCAATGGGAATATACTTTCTGCCTGTCCATGTTGGTCCTTTATTTTAGGCCAGCTAGGTGGTATAAAAGCTGTTTCTCAGTGTGTTCCCTGATTTATTTATATTAATAATTAGTTGTATTGTTTTAAACTTTTGGTAGTACTTGGATTTTTGTTTGTATCACCAAAATCAATTGACCAAGCCACAGATTAGATGATGAGAGCACTCTGTGCTCTTATTTAGATTAGTGACTTGTAAACGTGAGTTGGTTTTAGTGACCCTGCTGACCATAACTGTGGCTTACTGCAACTGTGAGTCAGTCATCCCTGGTGGCTTTCCAACCTGCAAATATGTCATTGCAGAACAGGGGGTTTATTAAGTCAGGTGCAGAAGTGTACAAATCTGGCTGCACTGCTGAAGACCAGCATGGACTGAAAAGATTCTGGAGCACAAAGAATTTGGAAAATGCAATTCAGGAGGCTGAACACCCCAGGAGGCTATCAGTGAGACAGAGTAACAGCATTACTGCCTTATCTAGATTTTTACCATTATCCAACATGTCACCCCTTGTGAGAGAAATACAGTTGGATATATTCAGTTAGACCTGAATGCAGTTAGAACTGAAAATTTATTTTCTTAGCCTGGCATTCTGTAACTTGTCCTAAGTGCTGTGCTTCAAGGAAACTGAAATGTTTTATTGCAAAGAAACTTACTTTTCTTCCTTCATTCCTGTATACCTTTTCATACTCCAGACTTTCCACTAGTTAATGGTCTACATGTCCCATGCTATTATCTGTCCAGGCTTCATGCAAAGCTAGGTAAATATCTTCCTTTTGCACCTGCTCTTCAAACCCTTGTTCTTCAAAGCTGACTTAGCACTGCTGGGATGGTTCTAAATATGAAATATATGCATCTCTAAAAGTTGGAAATGTCTTATTGCAGTCAGTCCTCCTAGCAACACTGCATAACAGATTTGGCTAGTTTTTCCCTTTAGCTTTGTTCGTTAAAATATCCCAGTGCATATTGTCTCATTTTTGTATGCATATTCTCCAAGTCTCTATCTAGCTGAGGACAGAATAGAAAGATAAAACTCTTTCTATTTCACTGATGGTCTACATTTGTAATCAAGTTTTTAAACATTTTTATAATCTAACTCGTAATTCTTCTAATCACTGTGGTCCTAGAAATCACATGTGTAGGTAGCCTAATATGGCTTCCACCAGTGAAACTGGGTTGGCATTGGTTAGGCAAGAGGTCACTGGTTAGAACCTTAAATTAAAGCTCTGTGAATCTCTGTGCTTAAAGTAGTGGACCTCCTCTGCATGGCCTTGCCTCTGTCTTTTGGACAGGAACAGGTTTTCAAGCCAGCTATGGGGCTGAATCAGAGGAGATACTCATTGATGTTTAAAAAGTACAAAGCACAGCAGAAATGGTCTCTGCAGCTTTGTACATCAAGAAATTTCAAATATAGCCAAAAGAGCCCAGGTAAATGAAAAAGGAAAATGTTACTGTCGTAGAGAATTAACAGCTTTCAAGCAATAAGCTTCAGCTTCTTTTTTTTTTTTTTTTTAAGCAAGCTACAGCTGAGGCTCAATAATCTTGATTTTTATTATAAATCAAAATGTCATTTAAGAATTAATACATTTCATGTAACTTAATTTACACAAAATTGTCTTCTAGTAAGAGTCTGGTCTGTTTATTATTTCATAACATTCTTCTTTCCCAGAGGCTTTCATGGAAGCATGTCAAGCCATTATATAAAATAAAATTCAACAAAGTGTGTGTGTGTATATATATAATTTACTAGAGCAGAAGTCTGTGCTCACATGAGGGAATTAAATCAATACTCTGCAAAAAGATGCTTCAGATCAGAGTGCTGCGGTGCACAGCAGGACTCTGGGTGGCTGTTAGCTCTTTGTTGTTATGCTCTAAAGCCCTCCCTAGACAGTGGGCAGCGGCTGGGAGCTCTGTACCTAGGAAAGCCTGCACACAGCAACAGTCTGCACTGCCCTGCCTCTTATCTTCCCTGGCTCTTGACCCTTCTGGTACAGTCTGGCTGTATTGCATCGGACCAGTAAAGCTTTTGGTCCCTACATGGATGTTTCATAGAGACACCTTACCTACAAAAATCTATTTACTTGGGAGTAATTTGCTACATGAACAAGCATGTAGCATAATCTGTAGCATATATGGCAGATCAGATATGGATGACTGGACAGAAAGGTCTTAACACCTCTTTAAAGTAAAGCTCAGCTCAGAAAAGTCAGTCAATCGTAAATTAGGAAGTGTCAGAATGAAAGCTTCCCATGTATTTCAACATGGCCTGCATTTGTGTGCATCGTAATAGGTTACATTACTATTTAAAGGTTTGCATGGTTCTGTTAATATCTTTATCAGTGATCTGGATGAGGGGATTGAGCGCACCCTCATTAAGTTTGCAGACGACACCAAGTTGGGCAGGAATGTTGATCTGCTGGAGGGTAGGAAGGCTCTACAGAGGGATCTGGACAGGCTGGATCGATGGGTCAAGGCCAACTGTATGAGGTTCAACAAGGCCAAGTGCCGGGTCCTGCACTCTGATCACAACAACCCCATGCAATGCTCCAGGCTTGGGGAAGAGCAGCTAGAAAGTTGCACGGCAGAAAAGGACCTGGGGGTGTTGGTCAACAGCCGGCTGAACATGAGCCAGCAGTGTGCCCAGGTGGCCAAGGCGGCCAACAGCATCCTGGCTTGTATCAGGAATAGTGTGACCAGCAGGAGCAGGGAGGTGATTGTCCCCCTGTACTCGGCACAGGTGAGGCCACACCTGGAATACTGTGTCCAGTTTTGGGCCCCTCACTACAAGAAAGACATTGAGGTGCTGGAGCGTGTCCAGAGAAGGGCAACGAAGCTGGTGAAGGGTCTGGAGCACAGGCCTTATGAGGAGCGGCTGAGGGAACTGGGGTTGTTTAGCCTGGAGAAGAGGAGGCTGAGGGGAGACCTTATCACTCTCTACAGCTACCTGAAAGGAGGTTGTAGTGAGGTGGGTGTTGGTCTCTTCCCCCAGGTAGTTAGTGATAGGACGAGAGGAAATGGGCTCAAGCTGCGCCAGGGGAGGTTTAGATTGGATATTAGGAGAAATTTCTTCACAGAAAGAGTAGTCAAGCATTGAAACAGGCTGCCCAGAGAGGTGGTGGAGTCACCATCCCTGGAGGTGTTTAAAAGACACATAGATGTGGTGCTTAGGGACATGGTTTAGTGGTGGACTTGGCAGTGCTAGGTTAATGGTTGGACTTGATGATCTTAATGGTCTTTTCCAACCTAAATGATTCTATGATTCTATAGTTAACTTCTTTATATGTTACAAAAGGTACTGACTGAACAGCTACTTAATATTTTATTTTATTCTTTGTTTTCAACATACAACTCCAAACTTCCTGACTGCCTAACACACAAACCAATAATAAATACGGTATTTCATATTTTTTCTTCTGTTTTATTCTAGTCATACATGTAACATTTGAATGTTTCACAGACAATGGTGAAGTTATCTACATGAAGTCCCTGTGGGGAAAGGAGATATATTTATTTTTCAAGCAGGAACATTGGTACATACTGTCATAATTGTTAAAACTGAAAATTAGCTGTGGGTGTGCAGAATGAACTTCAGGTGTCTCATGCTAAGCACCCAGAAGACTGGGGGCGGGGAACCTGTCTTGGAAAAATCTTATTCGACTTGGTCAGCATCATACAGGAACTATTAGTTAAACTAATTATATTAGTTAAACTATTAGTTAAAGTAACAAGATTTGAATGAGATTTAGAAGCCTCCAAAGTTCTTAAACCTTTCATTAAAATTGGCAGTGGGATGGAGAACACAGGCCCAGACGAGTACCCTTATGAGGACAAGGCTGGCACAGGTCCACAATCGTGTATTTGGCAGCTGCCTAGCCAGTGAGCACGTACTTAGCTCTGAACTACCCACCACATGTCCATTGTTTCCTGAGGAGGGACATGGGGTGGAGAAAAAGCTGGGGGCTGGGGAGGGAATTTGGAAATAAGCCAAAGGATGCCAGTCTGCTTGTCACTACAATACTGCACCGATTCCTCTGCTTACAGAACAGCTTGGTTCTTTGTTCAGTCCAGAGCTCTCTTTTCCTTGCATCTGCCTATTCTGCCATAAATTAGGCAGGGAATGTTGTGGCAGATTGACCCTATCATTTTCCTTCCTTCTCAGTAGTGACCATCCTGTGTACTTAATCACATTGTTTCTCTGGAGGGGGGGAAAAAATAAGCATCATCTAATTTAAGATGCATTGTAACACACAAGCATACACAACAGCAGCAAGTTGAAGTACCACAGGCAATCTTAATTCCGATATTTCTACCCATTCCTTTCAAGTGTTCAGCTGTTCCTCAGCTTGAAGATGTTTTACAGTTATTTCAAAAAGACAAAAAGTAAAATTATGGGGAAAGGAGAGAATTTAATATATGAAATTATATTGACCTTATATAGCGCCTTGTCTCCAATTTGTGTTGTTAATGCTACTGGTTATTCCATTAGCTCTAGTAATATGTTACCTTCATGCAAATCAGGCACTATGCAGAAACTGAACCTGCAATCCAGTGGGTTTTGCAACTGTCTTTAAATTGCAGAGGGACATAGGCATGAGGATTGCGACTTCTGCTCTACGTCAGAAAAATGAGAATGGCGTAACTAGGTCAGAACAGACATACATCTAGACCTATGTGCTGTTCTGTTGGATTAGTGGGATACCTGAGGAAGAGTGCAAGGTGACCACATAGTGATGTTTTCATTATATGCTCCTTCAGCCTCCCAATTTACACAGCTCAGAAAGTTCTTGTACCACAGGTTGTCATTGTCTCATAATCAATTTTTCTTCTAGTAATTTGGCTAACTGTATGTTGAATCTGTGTAGATTTCAGCAGGCAATTCTATGATTATGGGAGTATAAGTAAGCTATTTCAGAGTTTATCTGTTATGTGAAGTACCTTCTTTGATTCCTCCCCTCACTTCCCGAAGTGCAGTAGAAGCAGATCCGTAAAGCAAAACAGTTTGTGATGAGGACCCATTACCTGCAGAGTGCTCGCTTTAGGTGTTTTATTTCAGAGCAGCTCTAATCTGGCTTCCTGTCATGCAAGCATCTATGAGAGCTGGGAGTACATTTTTTGGTTTAGTTTCATTGAAAAAGAATCCAGTTCTATGCACTCTAAGACCAGATAGGAACCAAGGTTTATAAACGGGGATGTCTAAAAGTTTAACTTGAAAAGCCTGTGTCTGATCCAGACTAAAACACTGATGTAGGCACATCAGCTGAAGTAGTTAATTGCTGTCTAAGTAGGAGGCCTTTACTCTTTCTGTGCTGCTGAGGAACTTGGTCCAATAACTCAGCAGAAGCATAATCCAGCAAAGAAAAGGAATTTGAATTCACTGAATGCGTAGTCCAGTAAGTAAAAGGAAGGATTCAATAAATGAGATAAATCTTCACCAGAGAAAACTGCATGACTGATGATTGGCATAAAACTTCCAATCAAATTTTACAAGATTTCCAAATTTACAAGGGTAATTTTCATGGTTGACTCACTTCTGAACATTTCATCTGTAAATAAATTTTTGTATACAATGGAAGAACTGCAGAAAGTTCTGAATTTCTTCAAAATTAGTGTTTGTAAAATGGGTTTGTCTCTTAAAAAAATTCATTAAGAATGAGAACAAATATATCATTTCAGTTATCAAGAAAAAAGACAAAGTAATGTCCCATTAATGAAAAGTGTGTTTCATTAATGCAGAAGAAAATGTAAAATAAAAATTAAGTTTTTTACAGAGGTACTGCTGAAAATGAAAAGTCTCTTATCTTGCAAAGTGAGAGAAAAAGTAAAATGTAATAAACTGTGATCCCTTGATGCTGCATTCACAGACTTATCTAAACAGATATTGTGACTTTTGCACATATAAGACAAGAGATTACTTTGAGATGTGTATCAAAAATGGTGTTGGTGATGCAAGTCCTTAATCAGGTCCATCAGTTGTAACTCTTCAATTTTAGTGTTTTACTACTTTTTTCCTTTGAATCATTTTTTTCATCATTATTCATAAGATTTTATTCTAAAATGTTAATCATTACCACATAATAATACCAACTTAATGCGCGTAGTAAGTTTAAATGTAATGCGTTTTCCCATACTTATCTCCTTACATGTTGTGAACTTAAAAGTATAATGTAGTATGTTTATTTTTAGTACACCTCCTGATAATCTCTCAATTCAAGAATTTCAGAAGAATGAGAGTATTGATGTTGAGGTAAGGAGACTGTAACAAATATACTGTCGAACGTAACAAGATAGTGACACTCACAGATTGCATTTGGTTCTGAAATAATTCTTTTAAAAGTTACCCATTCATTATATTTTCTGTGATATTGTTTTCCTTTTTGAAAACAAGACAGGAAATTCATAGGCTCAGAATTCGGCTGCTTCAGAGTTATGCAAAAAGTAGGAAGCGGCATGCCAAAAACTACTTCTTGTCCACTCAAGTTAAAACAGCGTAGAGTGGCTAAACCAGAATGTGTTTCTGCCTCTAACCCATTATCTGATTCTTACTTACTACGTTATTGCGAAGCAATTACACAGGTAACTGTAAACCATGGAGGAAGCTGACAATTAAACCTGAAGTGAGTGCTTTCTGTATTGAGGGGGGGCATTCAACAGCAATGACACTGTTGCCCTCCAGATGTGTTCTCAATACTGAAAAGCTTGTGCATAAATGAAGAAATGATGTCTTGTTTGTGTAGTACAGAGACCGCTGTAATTGTAAAAGAGATTATGTTTGGTTGGATAAGGCTGAAGAAAATTAAGAGATGATGATATTTGGAATGAAGAGGGACTGGTCCCCTTTCACTGCAGGACAAAGAGATGTGACAGACCAGGGATTAGGGTTACAAAGCAAAAGGAGTTGCAGAGAAGACATGGCAATATCTGTGGGTTTGATCGCCTGTCATCCCTCCAGAGTGGCAGCTGGGAGGGACATAAAGATTTCTGGATGAAAAGTGGGAGTGGTTCTGTCTGCAGTGAGCAGAACTCTGAGATCTAATGCATTAATTTATGGAGATCTAAACCCACTTTGTTCCTGAATAGGAGCATCGAGACCATGGATAGGAAGCATTTCAGTTAATATGCGTTGCCTTAAGCTTGTTTAGATAATTAACTCACTTGTTCTGCTTTGCAGATGTCACATTGTAAGCATGTGATATATGTGTTCATGTCATAGTGAGGATATTGAATTGGGTGGAGGGAGAGGGAGATTCCTAATGTTATATCTTCTCTTTTCAAAACCATAAATTCAATTTGAAGAATATACTTCAAATATCAGTGGAAATCTGAGTGATAACTGCTTTAGAAACTCTGACAAAGTGGTGGTGGTGGGTGTTTATTATTTCAAGTTTACTGTTACACACAAGACCACAATTTTTGGAGATAACTGCAAATTTTAAAAGCTAGCACTGGTGGATTTTGTGAAGTTTCGTTAGTCTCCTTTGTTTAATGTTTCAGTCTTCTTTGTACTAGAACTACAACTTTAATATTCAGAAAACCAATATAAATATATTTAATTTATTTTAGGTGGTACAGCTTATCAGCATGGAGATACTGCCATATGCTAATTTTATTCCTAAGGAATTTGTTGGTCAAATAATGACTATGCTCAATAAAGGCTCAATACATTCTCAGTCATCCTCCTTTACAGGTATAGTACCTGAATGACAAAAGATATGGTGTTTAAATCTACTAGAAAGTAATGAAAATGTTGAGAGTACTTATTCTGGTAAAGACTTGAAGTTCCATGGCAAGTATTCAGTATAGACTGATACCCAGCTTGTTTTTATAAACTATATTTTGTTTCATGGAAGTTGCCGAGCATTCGGAGAGGTAGCGGAGGCCCCATCCCTGGCAACATTCAAGGTCAGGTTGGACGGGGCTCTGAGCAACCTGATCTGGTTAAAGCTGTCCCTGCTCACTGCAGGGGGGTTGGGCTAGGTGACCTCTAAAGGTCCCTTCCAACCCAAAGCATTCTATGATCAGTTTGTTTTGCTTTGTGCCACCTGAAATAGTTCTAACAATAATTTCAGACAATTATTAAGACAGACATAATACCCTGTTCTTAAAAGCTAAATGACCATAGTGTACCTATATGGTGTACCTAACCAGATACCTTCTCTGCCTTTAAGAAAAAAACATTTATAGTTTTTTGGGAAAGATGAAAAAAATGGACATAAGCCAGAGAAAAATATTGGGGTTGTACAGTACCAAATATTAGTATTAATGATGTAGAACTGGGGTTTTCTTTAATTGAGTTCATAGATTGTATTATTATTAAAGCAATATCAAGTAGGTAAAACGTTACTGAATGCGTTGCATATTTTATCTTTTATTTTTGGAACTATTGTGATTACTGCACAGTCACCTTTTCTTAGAATGTGTTTTTAGTATTTGTTCATATCACTGTTAATCTTTTTTAATACTAGAGGAGCGATAACCTTTTTGCAAAATATAATAAACTGATTGAAATGCAACATTTAGTGTATTGGCATGCATGCTGCACAATTAATACGACATTTTACTTTGACAGAAGCCGAAATAGATATTCGAATGAGAGAGGAGTTTTCTAAGGTGTGTTTTGAAACACTGCTCCAGTTTTCATTCAGTAATAAAGTCACAACTCCTCAGGAAGGCTACATCTCTAGAATGGCACTTTCTGTGCTCTTGAAAAGGTCACAGGATGTATTGCATCGCTACATAGAAGATGAGAGATTGAGCGGCAAATGTCCTCTTCCACGGTATGTACATTGTCTTTAGGAAATGAAAGGTATTACCAGGACTTTATGAGAAGAAGGTTACATTCAAAATATCACTCAATCATTAAAAAAATACTGGGGGAGGGTGTGTGAAATTTAAAGCCAGGGAAGTGTTTGTGGGGAAGACATTTCAAAGAAAATGTTGATACTGATTTTTTGTTGAAAAAGCTTTAAATAATAATGGTCGTATTCAGTGCTGTTACATAGACAATAGGGATGTGACTTAGTAACTACCATTTTCAGTTACTGAAACAATGTTTCTGATATCTGTAACATAATAATTCTGAAATCTGATTTCCCTTTATTCCCATTAGAGCTATGTATAGTCTAAATTGAGAGGTGGAGAGTCTCCTTGAAAATAAGATAAAATACCCAGACAGCAACATTGTGAATCATTACTGAAGTAACTGTTCTTGAAACAGAAAAATTGACCAAAGTACCATGAAGTTCTTTAAAATGGGAACTTAAATTTCACTTAGCTTTTGAAGGTTTTGATCATGAATGATGAAATTGATTCTTTTCATGTTACAGTTAATCGTGTACATGACTATTTTCAGACAGAGATGTGTATGCTGTTACTGTTTGCAGTTTCAAATTTAAAGCTATCCTAGCTGAGGCAACAGCAATGACGGTGGGAAAGTTAAAGACAAATGATAACCTTAATCTCTAAATATCCTTTTTTTGTAGGCTTCATTGCAGCTGTTTCCATTACATGGTTTTTTTAATGTTGTGTAAGTTTCAAAGAAAACTTGTATTCTTGAGACAAAAATGAGTAGCTGACTGTTTGCATTTTTCCCTTTGTAGGCAACAAGTAACAGAAATCATATTTGTTTTAAAAGCTGTCAGTACTCTCATAGATTCACTTAAAAAGACTCAACCTGAAAATGGTAAGTTATTGTTAAACAACATGGTTCTAAATGAGATAACATTGTATCTGCCACAGAGATATTTATTCTTTCCTGTAGTAATTTTCACACACATTGAAAGAAAAGTGTAATCTGTAAGATTCAGTATTATGTAATTCTCTGTATATGTAGGTGGCAGGTACCAAAAAAAACCCCCCCAAAGTTCTTCCAGTATACCTAAGAGTATAAGGTCCTAAGATATGTTTAATAAAATAGAAAACTTCAATTTATGGTGTCTTTTATTAGATAGAGCTTGGTGTCTTCTAAAAACATATGAACAAAAAAACCTGCCATAAAATGTTAATAGAATTCTCAAATATATGTAGTCTTGCTAGATCCTTTTTCTTCTTATGATACCTTTATAGGTCGCTATGGATCACGTTCACATAGGTGCACTCTGCAATTAAAGGGGTGTACAAGTGAAACAAATGGGCAGGCTGTGAGATACTTAAACTTGTGGTCTTGCTCTCCCTCCCTTTCTGCTCTAGTACCTCCTGTCCTCTGTATTCAGAAAGATGTCTTAGCTCATTGATGCCCAAGTAAATGGCTGACAGATGTATTTAAAGGGCTGAATTAAATGGAAGCTCTCAACTTCATTTATAATCGTGTGCCCTGTTCCTACTGTAAGCAGCACCTGCTGTATGCACAGAGAGATCCCCCCAGAAAACTTAGTCAGGAGTCTTAGTTAAACCAGCTGTATTAGACTGCAACTCTGACAGAACTGCATATACAACACTTCCCTCTACCTCCCTGCTTTTGGTGTTATGAGGAACAGAAAAAAACTTTTCAATTCTGAAACAAACAAACCGGCCTTTCCAGAAAAACACAGGCAGGTGGGTTCCCTGAAAGAGGCAGTGCCTCACCTGCAGCATCAGGGAGCAGCCAGATTTATGATAATGTGGTTTCCAAGGCTGATGGCAAAAGGCTGAGGGCAGAACTATGCCAGGGTACATAAAGCCTTTTGGCAAGCCCTGAAGGCAACTGAAGTGCTAGTTTGGTGGGCCTTTCTTTCAGAGGGGTAGAGTAGCCAACTCAGCTGGACTGTCCCCCACATCCCTCTTCCAGCAGTGAGAGAAATTCTTCACCTGGCCCATACATGGCAGTGATTGCCAAACCTGCTGCGTACCTTCTTCTGAAGGGAACCACTGGACAAATTAGAGAATCACTTTATTCCCACTTCTTCTAGCTTTTAATGATTTTGTTTCTTTAAGAAAATTATTATTGTTGTCTGAAATCGGGGGTTTGTTCTCTTTTGAAAACAGAGCTAAAACAGAGATAAGCAAGGAAGTGACATCATAAATAAGATTAATTTAATTTTACTTGTTGGACTAACAAACTTTACCATGGATATTTTTGTGTCTTGGTCCAGGGTTTCTCCCTCGGCTTTTTGTAACTCTAGTAATCTGGAACGATTTGAAATTAATAGAAGGCCTCATTGCTGACAAATTTCCAAAAGTGAAATGTGGGTCCAATTCAATTTTCTGTCACTGGCTGAGAAAAGCAGGCAGAAAATGCATGTATGTTACGGGTTTAATAAAAGCAGTGTCTTGTCAGTTCTTCATCCAGAAAACACAGCAAGTGACTCATATGTAGAAACACAGGTGTGTAGCACCATTTTATGGATATCCCATCTGGCATCCAGCTGCTGCTGCAAAAAAGAGTATGGCTTTCCTGCAAAAATCCTACATCATATCTGAGAGCCCTGTACAGATGTCGTAGGGCCTATATAGCACTAGGTGCCTATGTTTAGGCACCTGAACGTGCCCTTATTTATACAGGCATTGAAAAAATCTGTTGGAAGAATTTGGACAGTAGTAAGTGATTCAGTCTGCTCTTTCCTTCATTGCAGTTGACGCTAACACATGGGCACAAGTTATTGCCTTGTACCCGACTTTAGTAGAATGTATCACCTGCTCATCCTCGGAAGTGTGCTCTGCTCTGAAGGAGGCACTGGTTCCCTTTAAGGACTTCATGCATCCACCAGCATCCAAGGTACAGAATGGAGAGTCTTGACCCCATAAAACTTTTTTTTTATTTTTGAAGGAAAAAGTATCCAAAAATGTTTGTTCCCAGGTAAAGTTTGAGGAAATCTCTTGTGACTAGTACTTTGGGAACCAGTGCTGACTGCCTTTTAACTGTACTAACAAGAGCTCAGTAATTCATGAATCCAGGCTATATCTCAAAGGTTCCAGAGTGAGTAGCAGTGCAAACCTTTAATAAATTTAACTGAATAGTTGGAATCATTTATAATCTAATGTACTTGCTACAGTATCTTGAAGTGGTGATTGAAAAGTGGGCTTATGTACAGCTTGTTGTGTATGTGTTAATGATGTAATTAAAAATATTTCAATTCAGTCAGATTTATTAGGCTGGTGTTTTGCACCCTTTTTTTGAAGTACGAATTGTACTAAAATTTTATGCAAGATGATACTGTAACATTCCATATATCTGTAACCAGCCTTTGTAAACAAAGGGAACTGATAAACTTGTGTGTAAAATAAATGGTACAGTTCTGTATAAAATAGTTGCATTTATTATTTAAATTCTTTTTAAAATATTGGTAATGTTAAATGCTTGAAAATGTATTTATTATGAATAAGTTGTATGCTTGCATTTTTACTTACAGTTTGCCTTCTAAATTGCCAGATATGCTCATTCATATCTGATCATGTTGTTAGTTTTTGCTTAATTGAATGTATCTTCTGTGTGGCCATTGGACATCTAAGAAAGGGTCAAATGACAAAAGATGGCAGCAAGCAGTCAGTAGTCTGCTGATCTCAAACTTCAAAGTAGTTGACCTGAAATAAGTTTGAATACGCAGAAATCCACTGTAGCACTTCAACACTACCATACCTCACTTCATAATATATTTGTTTCGAGACGTTTGTTCTAGTCAACTCTATCCTTTTGTAGTTGCAGCCTTGCTTTAAAAAAAAATACATATTTGAGGGTTGTTAGCCTTTTTTTTGGCCTTCTTGGCAGGTATCACAGTCTTTGAATCATGACCCAAGAAAAGTGATTTCAAATATCTGAAATACTTGGCTGTAATATTTTGTTCAATAATTTTAAGTGCTTTGTTTTGTAATGTCTTTTCAACCCAACCAAATTGTTCTAAACTTTTAATTATAAACTGTGTCTGATATAAAACCATGAGAAGTGTATTTTTGAAGATAGTTACTCATTTAGAAGTGCAGTAAAATTTGTCATTAAGTAAATGTGAATTTGTTTCACGTAATACAGTTGAAGCAAAACACTTTTAATAGTATTGTTTTTAAAGTTTGTGACCTAGCACTTAAACTCTTATTTAATTAATTATTATTTCAATAATGTTTCACCTGTATTCACATATTTTTAACCTGTGATGTGAAAGCACAAAGGCCAAATGTTTAAAAAAAAAAAAAAAAAAAAGACAGGTGCCTTTCTATGGATTTCAGAGTTTACCTTTAGGTTTTTGTTCCTTAAAGTCTTTTGTAGATATTAAAAGAGATGATCATGCATAAGAAATGGTATTACATCTGTTTGCTTTACACTTTCCTGGCTGAAGGGACGTTGATTGGTACATGTGAATAGATGTAGGAGCTTCAAGTTGAAGGTGTCATGTTAGGTTAGGTCAGGGTTAGAAATACCCTGTGTGAATCATGTTATACAAGCACAGGTTTGAACAGCTTGCTCCCCTAAGGCTCCAGTTTATGGTGCTTTTTAAAAGCTTTCTGTTTTAAAGTACAGTAAATATTAAAGAGGCTTCAAGATCTTGCACATTTCTCTGTGACCAAAGTTGCATGGAACTTAAATCGTCTAGCGTGGATAGTTTTTAGAGAACACACAGTTTACATTAAGGAAACAAATGCTTCCCATTAGTAGAATTTATGTCAAAATAGCTTCTTTGGAGGAGCCGTTCCAGTATAATGCAGAACTGGGTCCCACATACAGATAACATTATCTGTACTCTGAAAGTGAAAACCTGGCAACTGCTCTCCTAATTAGTGGAAGATAAGTCAAGGTCTATGAGGTCATTAAAGAAACAAAGTGTAGGACAGGAAAGAAGGGTATTAATTTGGTTTAGAGTGTATTATCTTAACCAGAATTTCTGGAAAGAGGTGTGCAGATCGAACTGTGGGTGAGTTTGTTTCTAATTAGTTTCTAATCGGTTATTCAGTGATAACACAGATACATTCTGTCCAATGAAGCAAATCTTCAGCTTTATCTGTATTTTAAAAAGGGGGGGTGTATGAGTCTTTCCTGACTCTAGAGCTTAGAATACTTTACCACCTATAGACATTAATCTTCAAAAGCTTTGGAAATAAACTATCAATGACCTAACTTTCCTTCCCTTCTTCTTAATTACAAAATTAGTAATATCTGTGCTATTTGAGGCATGTTTTGGACATGCAAGCTGAGGCTGACCATATTCAAACTGCTTTCTTGTATTTTGTATAAATAGTTTGAGAACTAAAAGCTACTTAGTTTAGAAAAGAGTTTTTTTGTTGACTAATTTTGTCTGTGAATAAGAATTATTCCCTTTACTGTGCCTTCTTGTCCACTCAAATATTTCTTCCAACTTGAAGTATCAGTTTCTTTTTTCTATTTGTACTTTTTGCTAAATAGTCTTAGGGTTTCTTTGATGCAAACAGCATATTTAAAAATTTAAATTTCATATTTTTACATGTTTCTAGCAAGGTAAATCTTGTTCCTGAAGAAATCTAATTTAATTTAACATTACCTATTGAGTAGACTCATGTCCAAGTTCTTTTCAAGTCTGCAGGGTTGCTTAGTCATGAGAAGTGGAACACGTGCACATTTTCAGGATTGGGGTCTGCACTGTGCCACTGAAATCAGCTAGAAAAGGAGTACAGCAGATTGTACAGAAATATGTCAGCTGGAAGTTAGAAGATAAGCAATAATTGCTTATTGAATGTAACCACAATCTTTGCCTTTTTTTTTTCTTCTTCCCAACTTTAAAGATTACATGGATTGGGAATCCAAAGAGAAAATGTGAGGGTCTGACAGATTATTAGAAGGTTTATATCAAGATTTTGGATTACCTGGGAAAACTTGTATGTCTCAATGCCATAACCATTGCCTTAATGTACACAAGGATTTAAGATTACATACTAGCTCTGATTAAGGAAAAGGAACAAATGCCTCAAGCTGGGAACTTTTTATAAAAAGTCTTATTCTTAGAAGTAACCTACAGTAGTTATTTGCTTATCATCAGAGATGCTTATCTAACTGGACATCTGTTTTGTTCCCTTGTACATGTGTCTGCTTCTCTACCTGTTTCATTGGTGAACTGTGGAATGTTACTGGACATTAAGCCACATGAAATACATGGTCACTGCTAGTTATTTACAAGAGCAAGTAGGAGTATGTCTGTGAAACTTCAGAAGTTTATCATCGTATTCTGCAGATGTTTTTTTTTTTTCCACCCAGGCTGAGTTGTTTCTTCTTGCCCAATGGCAAACCTTCTCATAACTGGCCTTGATCTCTTCAGGCAAGATATTTTTAGTGAGGTTAATGCCTCTCTTTCCTTCAGCACATGGTAAACACAAGTACTAGTCATCAACATATTCTACAGAAATTCATTTAGAAGTTCAGGATGCTACTGTTCTTGGGCGGGGGGAGGCGGAGGGGGAAGAAAAAGCATATTTTCTCCTCATCTGTTTCTATATGGCTCAGTTCTGTGTCTTTCACTAGTTGTTCACCTTCAGAATTGCAGCTTGCTACTCATTTCCTGTGTGGGCAGGCATCTTCTACAACATCTTCTAAATTATCATTAGCAGAAATTTCAGAAAATAAAATATATTATGTGTATTTTCTGTCCACCTATTCTGACCTTTCAGTCTGTCATTGCTCTCCATGTCACTTTTCAAGAGGTAAGGGGAGTATCACAAAACACTGTCGTTTGTGCACAGCAAGTGTATAGTATCGTGAAGGAGTCAGCTATGAAAATGTGACTTCTGTGGTACCAATGAGTAACATTTTCTTCCCCCTTTAGCTTAGTGAACTGAGATTGTGTTGCTTTAAGAATTCTCAAGAATGTCTTCCAGTTTTATCGATAAAATACTCTGTGATAATGTATGGTGTTCATTATGAGCCTGGTTGGGTATAAAAACCCATTCTTTCTTAATGATTAGTGTTTGCACATGCAGGTGAGATTCAGAATTTTCATCTCTAGCATCTTTAGGTAAAAATGCTTAGGTAGGGATGTAAACTGACCTTACTAATTCCTGCAGCTTACTAAATAACTCTGTCTGTTACATGGCTAACAGGATATGGACAGTTTTTCCTGGCTGCAGGTTATGAATAAATTTAGTGAGTAAGGTCTGTGCAGTATTTAGTTTATCTCAAGTCTCAGGAAAGAGCTACTCAAACAGAGGTCTTCAGTAGGACTTGTGCACCAGCATATAAGCACGCTTCCTGGATAAGAATGCCTTCCTCACATGAAGGTTGCATCTTATTTTAAGAACTCATCAAATATAAATCTTGTTCCATAGCTGAGTTGTAGTATTCAGATTTGTGTCATCTTCAAAGTATCTGACTGCTGTCTAATTTAGGACAGACAGTGTTACACTCTCTAGGAACCAGTTGCTGGTATCAAGAATGACTACGCCAGCAGCAAGTGAGGAAAAACATTTGATGGTTTAAGACAACTTGTGTAAGAAAGATAGTGGAATTAAATTTTCATGATTCTTAGGGTGGAGGGAAAACATGAAAATAAAAATGACTGGACTTCAAGAAGGCAGACTTCAGAAAATTGATAGGTAAGATCTCACAGAAGACAAGTAAGAAAGGAACCGAGGAGATGAGCAGTTAAAGATGCAAAGGTCATGACTGAAAGGGTAGCCCAGTGCAGGTGATAGAGACTAGCTGTAATAAGAGACCAACTCAGTTAAACAAGCAATGTCATTGACTTCAAACACAAGGAGGGGAGGCCTACACAAGGTGGAAGTTCAGATACCGCCAAAGAACAGTGTTAACAGATAGGGATGAAAGTAGATGAGATACTACTGTCAGCTGACAGAGAAGAAATACATAAGTAGTAAAAGATCTGCACTGACAAAAGTGCTGACTACTTAAAAGAGGATGGCTATTGACATATCAAGTGATCGTGTGTTTGGTTCAGATTTGCAATTTGTTTGTTGAATTTTTTGGTTTGTTACAGTGATGACTGATCCAAAAAGACAAAAATCAACTGTCAGTGCATTGCTCATGCAATTGGTATGAGTGACAAAGATTGAAGAAGCTTACCTAGAAAAAGGAAATCAGGGTAGAAAATAGTTACATGTTGTCAAATTGACTGGGCCTGTAGAATTTCTTCCTGGTATTTAAAGAACTAATATGAGGAACTTCAGCATTTTTAAGATCATCTTTGAAAACTAATGTAAAACAAGAGAAGTACCAGATGACTGAAAAAAAGCAAAACCAGTGCTTTAATTTTTTAAGGACAAAATGGAGGAGAAGATGGAAATCATAGATCAATTGGCCTGCCATTGATTCTTTTTTTTTTTCTGACAAGTAAAAATTAAAATCTGTTGTTAGCATCAGCAAGATATCCATGACATGCATAACAACTGAGAAGTATTTACTATGATTAAGTCACATAAAGCGAGTCTAACTTCTTTCTATGAAAAAGTGACAGATCTTGTGGATGGGGATAAGAACTAGTTGCTAAACCTTGATTTTAGTAAGGCTTTGGATGCTGTTTCACATGACTCTTTCATAAGCAAACCAGAAAAACAAAGTCTAGCCAAGCAGACAGGACCCTAAAAGGAAGTATTAGTTGATCAGGGTCAGCGTGTGCATATTGGGATTCTACAGGTAGCTTCCCTGAATACAATAAAAGGATAAGACAGTATGCTTACTAAATTGGTAGCAAATTGACAGATGTATTACAAGTATGCTAGAAAACAGGATTATAACTCCAAGTCTCAACTAGCGAAATAGTCTCCCAAAAAAACAGGATGCAATTCATCAACATGACTGTAAGGTGCTGCTGTTTAAGCAGCAGTCAGCTTTTTCCATTTAATTTTGCCAGCTTTCTTGAATAGGAGACTTGAATTTCAAAACAGTTTTGATGGTTGTCCTTAGAAAATTGCTCCAGTGTTAAAATGGCTGTCAGTGCAAACAGGTGTCATTAACACCATTAAGAACCAGATCTGAAAACATGTTTTGCAACAATTTCTAATAATAGAAGTATAAAACAAGTCTGAACATTTTTAAGCAATTAAAAATTAAAATTGTATATCAACTTTTTAAAGTGATACATTTCTGTGCATAATCC